GCCTATCGGCGGGCTATGGGCCGGACTCGACCTACTGTTCCCGTTCTCGACGGCCAGGGATGACGAGCAATCCTCGTCGGTCGCCGAATCAATACCGTCGGCGCCGTTACCCTCGTTATCATCGCTCATCGCCACCTCCTCGTCCTCCTCATCGGCCAACAGACTCGACGTATCCGACTGTAGGCGCCGTTTCTTGGAGGGCGTGGCGTTCGTACCGGTGGTCACCGAGTCGTCCAAATCGGACGACACCTCCTCCTCCTCTTCATCGGCCACTGTCTCGCTGTCGTCGGCCGTACCGTTAGTTTTAGGCGACGCCACCACTCCGGCCGCGGCGGCCGCAGCCATCAGTTTACTGACAGCCACTCCATTGGTGTGGGACTGGGAGGCCATCAGCGCCCGAAATGCCTTATCAGTGGCCGACCTATCGGTCACTTTACCCATAAAACTACGGATTTCGTGGAAATACTGTTCCTCTGCGGCTACGGCGGCCGTCTTATCGACCATTTTGGGTGAACCGTCCAAAATGGTGGGGCCGTCGGACTCGTGCTTCTTGAGATGTCTGTCCAAATTGGTCTGTTGTCCGAAACAGCGGTCACAGAGCGGGCACTTGAATGGCTTCTCCTTATTGTGAATGTTGCGGACATGGCGTTGAAGGTTGGATGAGATGCTGAACGAGCGCTCGCAGTACTTGCACTTATAGGGCTGTTCCCCGGTGTGGGTGCGCAGGTGTCGGGTCAGGTTGGCCGACCGAGGGAACACCTTACCGCAAAACTTGCACGTATACCGTTCCTTAGCCTTCAACATCTGCGGCGATAGGAGTTCCTGACCTCCGGGTCCACCCATGTGATGCTGGGCTGCTTTGAGTTTGTCGGCGGCGCCGGTAGTCATGTGGGCGCGCATGAAGTCGAACGCTTGGGCGGCGCCAGGAGTGCCCGCTAACAGAGCGGCGGGCGATAGCATCGGTGGATACCGGGCTGGGAATGCTGGGAACCCCGTGGCGCCTACCGCTCCGGTGGACAGTCGGCTATTGCCGGTGCCGTTGTTGTTGTGGTGGTTGTGCTCATTGGCGCCAAACATGGAGGGAAAGGCTGGTGTGGCGGCCGACTTGTGTTGCTGTTCCACTTGCATGCGATACATGCTCTCCAATAGCATGGGGTGTATGGGTCGGGGGTATGCCATGAGTTTTGACGGGGATAGGGGCCGCTGGAAGTGGTGGTTACCGCCCGCCCCACCATCCAGTGATTTGTGATGGGAATACATATGACTGTTGGGCGACGTCTGTTGTCGCGAGTGTTTCTCGAGCTCCCGTTCCCTCTGCTGAGCCATACTGTCGGCCATAAGCATCGCCCGGTGCCGCGCCAGTAGCTCCTCGTAGTTGGAGGCCATGGCGGCGGTGGCGGCCGACAGAGAGTGTGGGGACAGGGAGTGGCGGTTATTATGGTTATTGTGGTGGTTGTGGTGATGACTGTCCCCTCGCTTGTGGTGGGACTGGTGTTTGACAGACAGGTCTAAAGGCTCGTCCGCGCACTCCTCGCGTACTTTCGACTTAAACTCAGGCGAGTCCTCGAGTAGCCGGCGCTGGTGTTTGGCGCCATTATTACGCGATAAATCAAACGGTAGTTCGCTGTGCAAGTGGTCCACCATTAGGGACAGGGGTCTGATGAAGCCGTTGGCTGATATCATCTGCACCGGGCATATGGCGCCTTGTTTTGGGGATGACTCGCGTGTGCCGGACATGTCTGGGATGTCGGCGCAGTCACTGATGTCTTGCTTGCGGTTGGGTTTGTCTGCCGGCGATGAGGTATCGCCTGTTCGGAGGGCTGGCTGTTCAGCGTCCGAGTCCGAGTCGCCAGTGATGGCCACCTCTTCGTCGGTCTCCTCGTCGTCTAAGTCCGAGTCCTCCCTGTCTTCAGAGAGATCGGTGCCGACGCTATCGGCCGATGAATGTCTGGATCGCTTGCGAGTGGATGACTGTCCACAAGGGAATGGGAGATAGGAATTAGTCTTAAGTTTTTAACGTGACTTTTATAATCAATGAATGGTTTCATTACCTGATTCGCGGTCTCAGTGTTGTTGTCCTCACGAGTGGACTGTTTTTGATTGGTTTCCGCAGAACTCGAGTTCTGGTGATTATTATCGACAGAGATGTCTGTCTTATTGAGCGACAGGTCCTCCAACTCCCGGTGTTTACTACTATTAGGCGACAGAAAACTGTTGTCGCTTTCGCTCACTGGCGTCGAGTGGTTGATACGTGAGATACCGGCGCTCAATGGGCTTGAATGCGGTTTACTGTCGGCGCTGAGTGGGCTGGGAATGCCGGGAAAGGCGGCTACTTGTCCAGCGCCTGTCGTTTGCGGGAATAGCGAAGGAAAAGTGGTGCCAAAGAATGGCGGATAAAACGGAAAGCCAGGCCTGGGATGAAAGGCTGATAAGAATGGGTTGGCAGCGGCTGCTGCTGCGGCTCCAGTAGTCTGCGGGGAACTGGCGATATCGGCCAACGCTGTGGCGAGCGCTGACGAATCGTTGATACCTTTCCTGCCGGTGCTGTTAGAGTCGGGCGACGATAGGTTTAGCGACGATATGTGTCCGGCATTTCGCGGTGAGATCGGCGACGAGTGGTGTAGTGTAGGCGCTGACTGGTTATGGGAACTGCCGGTGCCCTCGCAAAAGCGTTTATGTTTCGAGAGTGAGGTAACGGTGCTGAATGCCTGTCCGCACTTATTACACTTGATCTGTAGCCGACAGTTGGCGTGCATACGCTTATGGCGACAGAGGTTGGAGAACTGGGTGTACGCCTTGAAACAGACTTCGCACCGGAAGGGCTTAACACTGGAGTGGATATGGGTGTGCTGTTTGAGGCCGGAGCTCGTGGCGAAGGTCTTGCCGCAGTCGGGACAGGCGTGCGATCGGGCGCCTATATGCTGGGACCGGATGTGCCGCTGTAGGTTCGACGGGTCGGTGAATACCTTCTTGCAGTTCTCGCAGGTGTAGCGCCGGGAGTCGTCGTGAGCGACCTGATGCCGGATTAGGTTGGACTTCCAGTTGAATACTTTGGGACACTGGTCGCACCGGTACTCTCGGTCGCCGCCGCCTGAGTCCTCGTTACAGTGGGTGAATAGGACGTGCTCGTTGAGGCTATACGTACGCGGGAGTAGAGGTAAGTACATGATTAGTTTGGTTTTTTGTATGATTTTTCGGGGTTTTTAATGGGAATGGGATATTGAAAGGGTGAAGGAGCTGATGGCGCAGGTAGTTTTTTGACTGTTTTTGTGTTTATTACAGTTTTTTTGATAAAAACCTTATTGTAACACTTATTACAGTATAGTATTTGTTTTAAAAATTAATACCTATTTTAACAATTATTTTAGCATATTTTTGAATGTTTAATTAATTTTAGCACAGGTAGCATGTTTATTATGTAGTGTGACGTAATGTAGTCAAAGTATTTTTTAATTATTAAAATTTTTTGACGTTTAAAATAGAGTTTATATTTTTATGTCATTAAAGTCTTAAGCGAAACCTTAATTTATAAATTAATCATAATTTTATAGATAAGAAACAAAACAAAAGTATTATAAAAATTATAATACAATTAACGCATTTAATCATCCATTAGTGGACAGGGATGAGGTTGGAAAAAAGGATAGGTGTGGACAGGGATTCCGTGGTTAGTCTTATTACGGGTAGGGATGAGTGTCGGAGTGGTAGACATCCTAAAACTTTTTTTTGTATACAATTTAATAATGACTTAATCATTAAGTATATGAAAACAAAAACAATACAATATTTAAATCATAATGAGTGATAAAAATAATAATTTTCGAGTTCACAGCAAAGCCTCTTAAATATGTTTATTATCTAATAGGTTGTCATCATTATTACGGTTATTATTATTATTATTAACGTTTAATTGCAATACTTATTACTACTCAAAGTGATGCTACAGTTTTGTATTCACTTATATAATACCTCTTAAATAAAGTTTTTTGAAATAGCTTTTTCTGTACTGTTGTTGTATATAAATAGCTAACTATAATCAGGTTCTATTAAACTCCTAGTAATTACTGTCATATAATGTAATATAACAACTGTTATATAAAAAATAGTTTGTTATGTAATATAAAAGTTATTTTGATATGCGAGTGAGAAGTGTAGTCAAAATTAAAAGGCTATTCAAGTCTCTCTCTCTCTCTCTCTCTCTCTCTCTCTCTCTCAAAAATAATTTACAAAAATAAAACTACAAAATTAAAAAACTCTTTTCCCTAATTTATAAGTCATAACAAGTTGTGATTTAAGCAATTGTTTTGTTTTTTAAATACAATTTTTTGTGCGCGATAAATCTAATCACAAGTGAGCAAACACAAAAAAAGTTACAAAACATTTCGATGGCAAACTGTTTGCTGGTGTACCCCACGCCCACCCCCTACTCGCCACAAACACCATTGTATTATACATACAAATTGGATGCGAGAACATGTATTAGACGTCTAATGCCCTGACATATGCTCTTTAAATATGATATATTAGTGATTGAATTGATTGGATCTGGGTCAGCGCCAGTGTTTTTTGGTGATGCTTTCCCATTCAAATGACAAATTACTGATCACTCGGAGCTCTTCACGCCTACGCACACGCGATAAACTACCGGTGCTTTTGGGGCTATACATCCCAATACATCACCGCCAGTGAAATATCATTACAATTACTGATGAGACTCGCAATGAAAATAAAATATGATTTTAAGAGAAGTCTTAACAGAAAAAAGTTTAACAGAAAATCATAAATTATTTAATAAACAATCCTCGAGTTTATAGGGCGGGAGGGGAATGGGATGACTAGGGATTAGAGTCTAGGAAATTATGGTTTTTATGTGATATTTGTTTCGTATTAGTCTGGGATTTAATTTGTTTTTTAGTGTATTTAAGAAGTAAATACTGTTTTGTGAAGTATTTTATTGGAGTATTAGTCGACATATCCAGCGGTAATAGTTAGGCATAACAAAAAAGGGCTGAGCGCTAGGTTATGTAAAAATTAAACATTTATAAAGGGATTAAATTGAATATAATTTTGAGAGAGAGAGAGAGAGAGAGAGAGAGAGAGAGCTATAATTTATTTAAAATTTAATAAAAACTTTTATACAAAATCCAAATTTAAATTAAAAATTATTACTTATTTCTCTCTCAATGTGTTTATGAATAGAGTTTTTTGAGAAAAATAAAGACTTTTTAAAAATATAATTTATACGAAAATAAAACTCAAAATTCAATTAATGTTTCACAAAAAAAGTTACTTAAAAGTGAAGAAGAGTTACTTTTTTATACTGAAAATAACAACTAAACCAAAAACTAAGTGAAAAACTAATAAAAAGTAAGTTATAGTCGTTTTTAGGGATGACTTAAAAGGTATAATAAATTTGCATAAATTTTGCTGTTTTTGTAATACGATTTATAAGAGATATTATTATGATTTTATTTTATATATTATATACCCTTAAAAATGGTTTCATTGGCCCCAGGGCAGTTTTTATATATGGCGTATAATATACTTATATATTATATCGAGATCTCCCTGTATATATTCAATGAGTACTCATGTAAACCATGGCTTGAATTGTATGCCAATCAATGAACTCACGAGTGAATCAATGGATGAGTGAATGGATGGATGGATGGGATCATTAGGACCAACCACTCAAGACATCACACATACACTCAAAGCACAGGTAGTTATATATAAAGGACAGGAATTTTTGGTGATGTTTTTTATGTACTTTTTGTGGCCATATATTGACAACTTTTTGACATATAATAGCCGTTTGAATAACAATTTAAATAATAATTTTGTTTTAAAACTCTCGGATTCTCTCACAAAAATATTTTGACAAAAAAGTTATGAAAAATATTTTTATAGCCAAAAACTTTTCACGTCTTTAGGAGTTCTCATGTTTTTTGGCTAAAAATACATAAAAATTATATTTATTTTCGGCTATAAATCCTTTGCGAAAAAAAACTGTTTTTACAGTAATTTTATTGCTATTATTATTAAATTAATTTCTTTTTCGCATCAAATATATTATGAAAAATACTGTGTTTTGCAATGAATTGTGTGTTTCTCTTGTTTTTAATCACGATTTCAATTAAATTTAAAATTTATGATAAGTTAACACAAAAAAGCATTACGAAAATCTCTATGCAATTGATTTGTTATACAATTTACTATGCAATTACTGGTTATATCGGGGAAAAAAAGTTTACAACAAAAACAAATTAAACACAAAATGTTTTATACAATAATAAAACTTAAAGACATATTTTAAGACACATTAACGCATCACTTATTATATAATTGAATACTTTTGTCACTATATTATCACAAGATTTGCTCACTTTTTATGAAACACTTTAAAAAGACAAACAATTTATCGTAAACTTAAACTTCATTACAAAACAAATAGTAGCCTAACAATAGCCAAACAAATATAAACTATTTATTGGAAACTAAAACGAGTCATTAAAAAATCAATAAAAGTGTCGACAAAATAAGAGATCATTTTTGAAAAACTTAATTATATTTTAATAATAGTTTTGCTCGTATGTTATAGTAGGCATAGGGGGATAGGTATCCTAAAAATACAATACCTGTGCTATGATTTCGTGCGGTTATAATGGATATCGACGACTGAGAAAAATGAGACTCACTTTTGACGACACCATCGAAATCAGTCATCGTTTCAGAAAAACTAATTAAATAATAATAAATAGCTTTTTGTCGCCGTTTTAGTCGTAAGTATTACACAAACTAATGGTTTGAGAGAGAAATGAAAACAACAACTCTTTCTCTGAGCTACTGTTCCACTGATAAGACATGGTTTGCCATTAAAAAACTTTTTTGACAAAAACTTTTATGAATTCATTGTCTGCTGAAGAATAGGAGTACTATTCATATCAGTCATCAAAATCTCTGCTATAGAGAGACAGTAGTTAGTGGAAAGTCATCACATTTTTTTGCTCAGTTATGTTGGTTATCATCACTTTCTGTGTACACATAGAGAAAACACACAAAACTTTTTTCACTGATTATATTTATTAATGCCATTTGTTTATTGTTTTTATTGTTTATAATAATATTATTAACAAAAACTAAATACAATTGAAAACAAGAGTTAACATCCATTTAACTGAAAAACTACACAAAACTATACATACGGTGTGCTATTCACGCAAATTTGTCATTGGATTTCAATGGGAGATATACACCACCAGTATGTGGTTAGCACTGGTAGCTCATGGCATACCATACCATACATGAGAGATGTGATGATAAATACCACTCCACCGGAGAGTTAGCTAACTGTTCGCTAACTGCGATCATAAGATGCACAGTAGTTATTGCATCAGTAGCTGCTCTCTCTCTCTCTCTCTCTCTCTCTCTCTCTCTCTCTCTCGGCATACACTTCCCTAACACACATCCATCCCAAACCCACTCCACCCCAATCGTGCCTATCATTCACGACCTCTTTGTGTGGTTTGATATGCACTGCAAATGTGAAGACTAAATGAAGAGAAGTTTTTCTGTGTTTTTATATTTTGTGAACACTTTTCTCGAGAGAGAAATACAAAAAATTTCTGTCATTTAGTTATCGAGTATTAAATGTGATATACATTTGGATTTATTGTATGAGCTAGGTACGAATACTCACATATTTGATGACAAAATATTTGGTTTAGAAATTTTCGGCTCTAATTGAGTGTATATATTGAATGCGAAAACTTTTTTAACGGTAATTAATATATGCACTAATCGTATAATATATCACTTGAATGAAAGTGAGATTTACTTTTTTGTGTGAATCGCGTATTATTTGCATTCAAATTGAAAATCTCACACAAAAAACTATATAATAGTATAATAAAAAGAGGGATAAAACTTTTTTGTTACTTTTGTTTCGTTGACTGAATTACTGGAAAAAAATACTACTTTTTATACTTAAACTCAAAACACTTCGTATCGAATCGTTAATTACACTAAAAATCTAGATTTCCATTCAATACACAATAGACAGCGAAAACTTTTTAAATATAATATGCATTCATATCACAAACATATCAAATACGAGTTTAAATGAGGCTCTGATTTAGTTGTAGTTTTCATTTAACAAAGTTTTATA